GTGAGTGTGGAAAGGTCGGACTACAGCTGAATCTTACGAAGACAATGTTTATGAGAAACAGGCTCATTCCTGATGCTCCATTCACTCTCAATGGAATGACCATCTCCGAATGCAACAGTTATGTGTACGTAGGTCGAGAAGTCAACATGACAAATGACCTGGCACCTGAGTTGCGCAGGAGGAAGAGAGCAGCTTGAAACTCCTTCAAGAGTGTCGAAGAAATAGCTAAGAGGACAAAGAACCTCTGGCTCCAGGCACATCTCTTTGATTCCACTGTTCTTCCTGCATTAACATATGCCTCAGAGACCTGGGCCCTAGGAAAACAGGATAAGAATGCTTTTCTGGTCTCCCAGACAGCATCTGAGAACCTGGTGAACAGAGCTGGTCCAGGACAAGATCAAGTTTGGGAAAGGTCAAACTAGCTTTAGTGGATGCGAGTTTGAAGTCTACCAGGTGTTTGCAACTCTTTTTTTTTTTCCTGAAAACTACCCTTTCCACCCACAATGGGAGTTTCAGAAGACATTTGTCTGCTTGGATCAGAAGAGATGCCTATTCAAAATTGTTCAGAAAATATTGAATTGTGGTTCAGTTGAAATAATTATTTACTTTAGAAAGAAACCAGGACTGGAGCGATAGCACAGCGGGTAGGGCGTTTGTCTTACACGTGGCCAACCTGGGTTCAATTCCTGCATCCTTGTTCAAGAGCCTGGCAAGTTACTGAGAGTATCCTGCCCGCACAGCAGAGCTTGGCAAGCTCCCCGTGGCATATTCGATATGCCAAAAACAGTAACAACAAGTCTCACAATGGAGACGTTACTGGTGCACACTCGAGCAAATCAATGAACTGGACGACAGTGCTCCAGTGCTGCAGTGCTACAGGAAGAAACCAAGTTTTCAGAAAGGAACGGTTTCATAGACTTTTAATGAAGGGTGGCCACGAGAGACTGCGAGTCCAAGGAAAGGTATGAGACTGTGGGGGTAACTTCTTGGATTCCTGAGGAATTCCTGAGAAGTTTCATCCCAAGTTCGGTTTCTCTGGCTCTGAAAGAATCCGCTATCTTTAGTTTAAGTTCACTTCTTATTTAGTACCCTTGATTGGGTTTCTTTTAGCAGCCAAACAATATTAACTAAGATTGTGTTTTAACAGACAAACACAAACAGGAAAATCGGGCAGGGTAATGTGCTCAGAGACGGGAGAGTAAGAGGTCAGTTTTAGACAAATAGCTGGGAAAGGTAACTCTGGGAAGATGGCATGCCCAGACAAGGCAGTCCCATAGCAGCAACCTGGGGACTAAATGAGCTCCCAGGTTAGAGAAATAGGGAATATAATAGGTCTTCCCAAGAACTGGGTATAAGTTATAACCAGATAAATGGCCAGAAGCAATCTTATATACCTTGTGCTGTATTGAAGATGAGAGCTATGGGGAGTGGAATCCGTACATACATTCAATAAGAATTCTTGGGTATCCCTTACATCCTAGAGAGTTTAATGTATTAATAAGCCAAGTTGTGATTGGGAGGCTAATGGCAGGCCCCTGGGAGGAGTAAGACCCCAAGGTGGAGCTCTGTGGTAGGGGCTACCAGTCATGTGTCAAAGCAGGGAAAAAGCCTGAGAGGACAAAAGCAGGTGGCAGCTGTCTGCTCATGGTGGGGACCAATAGCAAGACTAGCATTCAGAGCTTCTGGACAAAACAGACCTAGAGCCACTAACAATGAAAACTCAGGAAGGCCCTTATACTAAAGAGTAGCAGAGAGCAAATGGAGGTAGGACATGAAAAAAAAGATTCAGAAAAAGAATGGAAACACAGTTTACCTACTGCCAGGCAATCTGAAGACCTTTTGGCAGCTGAGGAGCCTCCTCTGTCTCTACTCTTGAGGGAATGTTTGTTCCCTCAAGAGTAAAGACACTGGTGCTCAACTGTGCTAAAACTAAAATTTCTGGAGACTTTGGCTAAATAGGCTAAAAGCTGTATTCTTTTTTATTTTTTATTTTTGTTATTTTATATTAGTGAAACACCATTAGGTACAGTTGTAGACTTACAATTTTTTGTGCTTGGGTTTCAGTTATACAATGATTGAGTACCCATCTCTCCACCAGTGCCCATTCTCCACCTCCAGTGCTCCCAGTATCCCTCCCACCCTGCTATCCCCTCCATCCCATCCCACCCTTTTGGCGGTGCATTTCCTTTTATTTTCTCTCTCCTTTTGGGTACTGTGGATTGCAAAAGAGGCATTGAGTGGCAATCATGTTTGGTCTATAGTCTACTTTCAGCATGCATCTCCCATCCTGGGAGGATCTTCCCAAAACCCTTTATTTGGTGCTCCCTTCTGTATCTGATCTGCCTTTTCCCCTACCATGTGTGGCTGGCCTCCAAGCCATGGAGTGAACCTCCTGGTACTTATCTTGGCTATTCTTGGATGTTAGTCTCCTATTTTGTTACTTTATGTTCCCCAGATGAATGCAATCTTTCTATGCCTGAACCTCTTTTTCTGACTCATTTCACTTAGCATGATACTTTCCATGTAGTACCACTTGTATGTAAATTTCATGACTTCATCTTTTCTAACAGCTACATAGTACTCCATTGTGTAGATGTACCAAAGTTTCTTTAACCAGTCATCTGTTCTTGGGCACTCAGGTTTTTTCCAGATTTTGGCTAATGTGAATAGTGCAGCAATGAACATAGAAGTGCCAATATCATTTTGACTGTGCTTTTTTGCCTCTCTGGGATATATTCCCAGGAGTGGTATTGCTGGATCAAATAGAAGCTCAGTTTCTAATTTTTTGAGAATCGTCCATACTGTAAAAGCTCTATTCTTTCCTTATTCATTCCAGTATCACCAGATTCACAAAGCTAGATTCCTTTCATTTATCTTAATGCAGCATATTCTGGTTTATTGAACCTGACTTTCTCTGATGGAGAGACAGAGTAATAATGGAGGAAAAGAGAAAGAAGCATAACATTTAGGAGATGCCTCTTTATTTGTTGCTTATTGTGGTTAAAGTTTGTCAAACACTTAATCTCCTGGATCAGGGATCTTAATCTCCTTTCTACCTCCCACTTGTTATTTTGAATATCTTGTAATCATCAGTATGCTATTGAAATCAACAAAATTTGTAAAGAATTTTGCCAGAAATCAAGGACTCCCAATTTTATTACTCTCTGGCATGTATTTTAACTTTGACAAGATGCACTCAAAAACAATAACAGCAAACAACAAATCCTAACAATAACAGATTAGAGGATGTGCTATTACCTCCAGTTTCTTCTTTTTTCAATTTATTACTGTTGTTGTTCATGGTGTTAAACATGATCAAAGCAAGCTCTGAGGCTATGTCAGAAATTTTTGCCTGTCTTCAATCTATCTTGATGGGAAGCACATTATCTAGCTTTTTCAACTCTTAATTTTCTCATCTGTAAGATGGAAACATCTGTTTCAGTATCTTGCTGGGTAATTTTGAAGACTGTGTATAAAAACCACTACAAAGGGTATAAACATCAATGAAGGATAGTCAGGCCCTTGAATAAATTAGAATAGTTGAGCAAAGAAGCTCAATAAAGAAACATATCGGAGTTTTTTTGGACAACTCAGATGTACCAAACCCCAGTTTCTTCCTTCTTGCCAGCTCCATGGCTTTAGGCAATTTCCTGGAGTTCCATATCTTGGTTTCTTCACTTGTAATATGTCTCATAATGTCCCTGGTTTTTGATGTTTCTCAAATTAATTTTTACTAGAGTGACATTGCATCAAAACATTATGTTATTATTAAACAAAGATTAAAATTATATATTTAAGGGGGATGGGTCAGAGAGAGGTGGGTGAGAGGGAGGGGAGGGAGACAGATATACTGGTGATGCATGTGATGTCAGAATAATGTCCATGAGAAACCATTATTTATAGTGCTGTAAGCCAAAAAATTAAATTAAAAAAATATACTTTACTTTGCCATGCAAGCAAGATACCCACATGACAAAGTCTGGCAAGCTACCCGTGATGTATTCGATATGCCAAACACAGTAACAACAAGTCTCATAACGGAGATGTTATTGGGCCTGTTCCAGCAAATCAATGAACAACGGGAGGACAGTGCTACAGTGCTATATTTTACTTATTCGTGATTATGATTTTTAATTACTCAAAAGAAAAAAGGAAATTTTTGTTAAAAAAAATCCTTGAGCCCAAGCAATATGAGTTGCTATTTTGCTTGTTATAAAAGTATTCATGTAATTTTAGTACATGTAAAATTAGTACATGTATATCAGGTTTTTAAAAAATATTTGCATAGATCTTTTTTTTTTTTTTTTGGCTTTTTGGGCCATACCCAGCAATGCTTAGGGTTTACTCCTGACTCTGAACTCAGGGATTATTCCTGGTGCTGCGTGGGGGACCATATGGGATACCGGCGATCAAACCCTGATTGGCTGAGTCCGAGGCAAACATGCCCTACCCACTGTATGTTCGTTCCAGCCCTTGCGTAGAGAATTTTTCTAACTTGTGACAGTCAAATTTAAACAAGAACAAATTGCCTTTAAACTAAAACACATAAATTGTACAACAAAAATGTGAGTGCTTTCTTAAAATTGTAAACTTTTTTTACATTTCATTCATTTTATGAACTTATGACAGTCAAATTTAAACAAGAACAAATTGCCTTTAAACTAAAACACATAAATTGTACAACAAAAATGTGAGTGCTTTCTTAAAGCTGTGAACCTTTTTTACATTTCATTCATTTTATGGACTTTAAAAAAAAGTTTCTTATCCATTTATATTCAGAATTTTTGCACTAATACCCCATTTAATTGAGAGAAATGCAGTTTATATGCCAAGGAATAAGCTATGATATAGAATTCGGGTTAAGCAAATATAATTTGCTGTTTTATTAAAACCATTGACATTCTCAAAGGAACTTTTTTCTCATTTAAAATCTAATACATATATTTTGCATGTATGCTGATAAAATTTTAACATGTGTAAAACTTTGATTTCTTTGCTAGATAATAGTTGGAGAAACTGCTGTATTTTGCCTACAACTAGCCACAAGGGATTTTGAAAACCAGGAAAAAACTATTTTAACTGGAGATTGCTGCTATATAAACCCACTGGTGCGGAGAACTGTACGGTTTCTTGGTAAGTGTTCATTGAATTCTTCTTATTGTCTCTGAAATGATATATATATATATATATATTTGCTAGCCTTTAAATAACTGTTTTAGCTGCATATGCTTATTATTTATAGTTTTGGGAATGTTTTCTTTTGCTTTTAAAAATGAATATTACTTTTTTTTAATATTACAAGACTGTAGTATCATTTCCATATTGCTTTAAGGAAAAACATGATGTAATACTTGGATATTTACATTTTTTAAGAAAGTAAAAATTGGGGTCAGAGAGGTAGTACGTAAGGCTCTTGTCTTGTATGCACCCAACTCGGGTTCTATCCCTGACACCACATATGGTACCCCAAATCCTGTCAGAAGTGTTCCCTGAGTTCAGCCAGGAGTAAGTTCTGAGCACTGCCAGTGTTGCTAAAAATACAAACAACAAGAACAAAAAAGTTAAAAATTATCCAAGCAAGATAATTTTTTTAAGGTCAGCAGGTTTTATTTTTTTTTAATGAAGTCATTTTTACATTAAAATATAGATTTTTTTATTAGTGAAACACCATGAGGTACAGTTGTAGACTTACAAAGTTTCATGCTTGGGTTTCAGTTATACAATGATCGAGTACTCATCCCTCCACCAATGCCCATTCTCCACCACCAATGAACCAGTAGCCCTCCCACCCACACTCCCCATTTCCCTCCAGCTCACACCGCCTCTGTGGCAGAGCATTCCCTTTTGCTCACTCTTTCCTTTAGGGTGTTGTAGTTTGCAATAGAGGTATTGAGTGGCCATCGTGTTTTGTCTGTAGACTACTTTCAGCATGCATTTCACACCCCGAGCGAGTCCTCCAAACATCCTTTAGTTGGTGTTCCCTTCTCCATCTGAGTTGCTTTTTCCCTCAGCATGTACTGCCGGCTTCCAAGCCTTGGAGCAGACCTCCTGGTTATTTACTTTGTTTGAAACATTTCAAAATAATGCTTGACAAAAAGTATTAATCTAGGCAGCTTATTTAGTATCATGAAAAATGGCTTGGTAAATAAAAGTATTTCCTCTACTCCTGATGAGTTGTTTCTCATGTAAACAAATCATATTAATGATTTTTATTGAGGACAAGATTCATGGATCCTTTAACTTTCAATCTCAAATTCTAGAACCTGTAATTAGTGAGAAGTTAATGAAAATTATCTCAATTCAACAAATGCTTTAAGGCACATTTTTTAGCTGATACCATAAAAAGCAAATTATCCTTTCCTTCATTTGTCAGAATTTTAAGTGTACATCTGTATATACTAAATAACATATTATTAATTTTTACATTTTACTCCCCGTGATGTATTCAATATGCCAAAAACAGTAACAAGTTTCACAATTTGTTGTGAGATGTTACTGGTGCCTGCTCGAGAAAATCGATGAACAACAGGAGGACAGTACTACAGTGCATCTTAGGTACTGTTCTAGTCCTCTATCACAGTGTTGACCTTTCTCTGTCATTGTCCCAGTGCTTCTTAACACACCTCCCCCACAACACACACACACACACACACACACACACACACACACACATACTAACTTCCTTCTTGGTTTCTGTTACCTACTTTGGGTATTTATTACTTGTTTTTCTCCTACTAGGCTGGAGTGATAGCACAGTGGGTAGGGTGTTTGCCTTGCATGCAACCGAACCAAGTTCAATTCCCCCGTCCCTCTCGGAGAGCCCAGCAAGCTACCAAGAGTATCCTACCTGCTCTGCCAGACAGAGTCAGGCAAGCTCCTCATGGCATATTCGATATGCCAAAAACAGTAACAACAAGTCTCACAATGGAGATATTACTGGTGCCCACTCGAGCAAATCAATGAAGAACAGGAGGACAGTGCTACAGTGCTATTCTCCTACTATGTGTCTTTATAAGAGATTATTCTGTGTCTGTCCTCTCCTTTGAAGAACTCTACTCAGCATGATACTCTCCAGATCCATCCATGTAAAAGCAAAATGCATAATTCCATCTTTTTAAATTTTGAACTATTTTATGAAATTTATTACTATTCTTTAAGGGATAAAGAGATAAGTAGGGTACAGTAAAAAAAAATCTTTCTCTAAGTGGATTCGCTAATATACTTCCAGGTATTCTCTGCAGTGATAAATGATTATCTTTATTCTGAAATTCCAAAATATATTCAGTCCCTACAACTCCCAACAATGCAGCAAATTGTCATTTGAATCCTTTTAATATTGTGCCAACAAAAGAAATCCATATTGGATTTTCAGCCCATATTGTTTTTCCAAAATCCAAATTGCTCAAATCCATATTGTTTTTCCAAAAGGCTGAACCAGTCAACATTCTCACCAACCATGAATGAGAGTCCCTTTTTCTCCACATCTGCACAGACAGTTTTTATCCTTTGTGATGTGTTCCAGGCTGTGTGAGATGATACCACATTGTGGTTTTTATTTGAATTTCCCTGTTGAGTGGGATTCAAATGAGGATTTGCTGCATTTTTAGTAGTTGTAGGGGCTGAATATATCTGGGAGTCTCAGAATAAAGATAAGACTCAACAGGGGCTGGAGTGATAGCACAGTGGGTAGGGCATTTGCCTTGCACATGGCTGACCCGGGTTCGATTCCCAGCATCCAATATGGTCCCCTGAGCACCTCCAGGAGTAATTCCTGAGTGAAGAGCCAGGAGTAACCCCTGTGCATTGCCGGATGTGACCCAAAAAGGAAAAAAAAATGATCGGGGCTATGGTGCCGCCTGTAGGGGAATCTGTACCTGTGAACGAGTGCATCAGCAGCCTCATGGTGCCTTCAGACTTCCAGAAATGCCCAAATTGCTGCTGTGCCTTTGGCCAGACCCCAAAAACTTGGAGCAAACTTTACCAAGAAAGTAAATGGCCAAAAGTTAGCTATGTGGGAGACACACCCAAAACCACCTCCTGCTCAGCTATATAATTGGAGGTATGGCCTTTCTGGTTCCTGATCGAACTGCTTAGTGGCCATGATCCCAGAGACTCAGAAAGAAATCTCGAAACCCAATGGCTTTTGGCAGAAATGTGTCCAGTCCCTGCAGTAGGCTACCGGTGCTGGGCCATCGCAGGTAGGAATAGATTTTGTGCCTTAGCCTGTTCCCTCTGGCGGCCCAGTGCCTGTCATCCTCCAGAGGCCACTGGACAGTCAGTTTTGGGCCCTTGGTGATGAGACACGTGGGGCCTCACGGGATTGTGGTGGAGCCAGCCCTTTCATCCCCGTCCCAACAAGACACCAAGTCACCACCCACGAATGGCCTTTCTGGGTCCAGACCAAGCTACTTAATGGCCATGATCTCAGAAACTCAGAAACAAATCTCGAAACCCAGCAGCTTTTGACAGAAATGTGTCCAGACTGTAGTAGTAGGTTACTGTTGTCAGTCCACCCCGGGGGGAAGGGTGCTGTCCCTCTGCCTGCTCCCCCTTGGTTGCTCGGTGGCTGCCATCTTCCAGAGGCCATTGGACAGTAAGCTTTAGGCCCGCAGTGAAGAGACATGCAAGGCCTCACGGAATGAGGGTGGAACCGATGCTTTCCTTCCCACCCCAACAAGACCATGAGTCGCCACCCACGAACAGCCTCTCTGGCTCCTGATCAAGCTGCTTAATGGCCTTGATCCCAGAGACTCAGGAACAAATCTTGCAGCTCAGCAGGTTTTGGCAAGAAATTCCTCCAGATTTAATTGTTAAAATTCCAGAATTTCAAACTCGTGTGGCCACTACTGCAGCCATGCTACATTATATGTTATTCATAACCAGCAATAGAAAACAGGTTTTCTACTGTTGCCTTTTCAGCAGATCTGGGTGTTGGGGTAAAATCCCAAATAATAATGGTGGGTGTGGTGTTGAAATGTTGAATGTAATCAAAGTATGGAGAGAGTAATTTGGAAATCATCTGACCCACAGGCAGAGGGAGGGCATGGGATGGGGGTATACTGGGGATTTTGGTGGTGGATGATGGGCACTGGTGAAGGGATGGGTGTTTCATTGTATGACCAAGACTTAATCCCGAAATCCTTGTGACTGCTCTCATGGTGATTCAATAAATAAAATTATTATAAAAAATGGGAAAAAATGATAAGACTCATCATTGAAGATAGTATTTGGAAGTACCGTAACATCTTCACTTAGAAAAAGATTGATGAGTTAATGAGCAGAATGTTTTTTCATATACTTTTTTGGTCATTTGTTTTTCTTTTGTGGAAGTATCAGCTCATCATTTTTGCCCGTTTTTGGTGGTTATTTTTTTCTTGTAAAGTTCTACCAGCGCTTTATATGTTTTGAATATCAACTACTTATTAGATGGGTTGCGAGTAAATATTTTCTCCCAGTGTAGTTTGTCTCTTTATTCTGGTCATTGTGTCCTTTGCATTGCAGAAACTCCTTAGTTTGATGTAGTCCCATTTGTTTATATTTGCTTCCATTTGTTTGGCCAAAGGCATCGAATCATTGAAGATAACTCTCTATATAAAGGTAAAGGCCCTCCCGTTGTTCGTCAATTTGCTCGAGCGGGCCCAGTAACGTCTCCATTGGAGACTTTGTTGTTACTGTGTTTGGCATATAGAATACGTCACAGGTAGCTTGCCAGGCTCTGCCATGCGGGCGAGATACTCTCGGTAGCTTGCTGGGCTCTCCAAGAGGGGCGGAGGAATCGAACTCGGGTCGGCCATGTTGGCTGCGTGCAAGGCAAACGCCCTACCAGTTACCTAGTAAAATGACATCAGGGTATTGAATTTCTCTGGAGATAAAAGGTATTGATGAATAAAACGATTTCTTTTTTCTAATCAAGTTATTTGTCAGTAAAGCCTTTAATTGTACTGTTAGAAGGTTAATTTTTAAATAGAACTTAAATTTTTATGGGGTTTTGGGCCATATTCAGCAAATCTTAAGGCTTACTCCTGACTCTGTTCTCAGGTATCATTCCTGGCAGTGCTCAGTGGACTATGTGGGGTGCCAGGGTTGAACCCGAGTCAACCATGTGCAAGACAAGCACCCTAACTGCTGTACTATCTCAACAGCTCCTGCATACTATGGTTCTTAAATAATTTCTTCTTGTAAAACCACATAAAAACAAAATTAGCAAATTATAATAATAATAGAACAATAATAATAATAGAACTAAAAGCACTTGACACTTACAAATATTATTAAACAGATTATACTTGGGTGAAATGTTTTTCAGTAGCTGTACCTATACTTCTAAAGAATACAAGGCACAAAGTTTGGTGATACGAAGTTTTCACATGGTTCTTACATTATTTTTTAATGTATTTAAAAATTCTTGATCTAATTTCTTAATTAATTAACAGGAGCTGGAGCGATAGCATAGCGGGTAGGGCGTTTGCCTTACAAGTGGCCAACATGGTCGACCCGAGTTCGATTCCTCCGCCCCTCTCGGAGAGCCCGGCAAGCTACCGAGAGTATCTCGCCTGCACGGCAGACCCTGGCAAGCTCCCCGTGACGTATTCGATATGCCAGGCACAGTAACAACAAAGTCTCCAATGGAGACGTTACTGGGCCCGCTCGAGCAAATCGACGATCAACAGGAGGGCCTTTACCTTTTACCTTTTTAATTTCTTTGTGATAGGATGCATCTAGATTAGTGTTCTAAAATGGGATGCTTCTTAGCAAGGCATTACCATGTAATAGGACATTGCTTTTTAGAGGGGCTTTATTCTGGAGGTCCCAGAGTTGAGCCACTCGTGGACTCTCACTTCATCAGGTCTCTTTGTAGTCAGACACAGTATTTCCCTTGGATCTGCTGCACTGACATTTTAATTTCAGCACACCTTTATGAACTTTGACAAGTATCAAGAGATGTCTCTTGATGTACTTTCATACTTTAGCACATACATGCTACCTGCATCTCCTTCCTTGAAGTATGTATTTTTATACTTCTAACATCGTTTCCTCATCCTAGGGAAATAAATGTTCTATATACCCCTGCTTGGTATGAATGCTGGCTTCCTCCTGTCTGGTGAAGTCCCTGTTCTCTCTTAGATATCTGTCTCAATCTACCTCTCATCTTCTCTCATTTCCCCAATAGTCTTGTTTGATTTTTTTTAAATAGTCCTTTCCATATTGTTTCCATATCATTCTCTCAAAATTATACGGGAAAACTTATTATGTCAGATAGAAAAATGATTTGGTTAAATAAAAGGACTAGAGTTTTTTGTTGTTGTTGCCGTTTTGGGTTTTTGTAAAGTTCTTTTTATTGAATCACCGTGAGATATAGTTACAAGCTTTCATGTTTGAGTTACAGTCACACAGTGATCAAACATCCCTCCACCAGTGCACATTCCTCACCACCAATGTCCCCAGTATACCCTCCCTTTCCCATCCTCCCACTGCCTCCATGGCAGACAATATTCCGAATACCCTCTCTACTTTTGGGAATTATGGTTTTCAATATAGATACTGAGAGGTTATCATGTTTGGTCCTTTATCTACTTTCAGCACACATCTCCCATCCCAACCAATTTCTCCAACACCCATTTTCTCAGTGATCACTTCTTTATTCCAACTGCCTTCTCCCCTCCGCTCATGAGGCAGGCTTCCAAATATGGAGCAATCTTCCTGGCCCTTGTATCTACTGTCCTTGGGTGTCAGTTTCATGTTATGTTAGTTGATACTCCACAAATGAGTGCATAAAAATACTAGATCTTAGCCAATATTTCAAGGGCATTGAGAGGAAGACAGGCCACTTCAGTTCCTGTGCTAGCTCACGAGGTTGGGCAGAGAGGATGTGCAAATATAGCATTCTGTTGAGCCCAGTTCTCTTTCATTTCTCTTCCTCTCTCAAGTTTCTACTTTTGTTAACATTTACTTCTATGACTCATGTGATGTTGGTAAGATGGAACTTTTTTGCTTCCTTTTAAAGTTGTCAGATAAAAGCGCAGCTAATTAAACTTTGTTTCATTGCCTTGAATTCTGCAGTTTGGAATTTTGGTGTGTGCAAGGTTTGTGGCACAAACTCTATATAATCTTAAATATATTTTGAAAATTAAATGGTTTGCATACATCTAATGCTGGAAAATGATTTGATCCTTTCCAGCTTTCCTGGTGATTTCCTACACAACTCCCAACAGTTATACTAAGGCTTAGGAAACAAATAATCCAATAACATATGACTAATAGGAGAAGCATTTAATTATTATAATCGCATTTTATGACATTTTAATGAACCAGCTATTTGGGAAGCGATGCTTTAGTATAATTTTCAGGTTTCCCAGTGGATTTTTTTCTCAAATTTTGAAATAATGGATTTGTTTACATGAATATCATATGTAAAAGAGTTACATATGTACATTTAGTTGGAAATGAGGCCAGATAATTTATCCTAACTCTGCTAAGTAGGAAAAGTAATTTTGACATTAGTAACCAATAACCCTGAATTAAAAATATGACTTTAGTATTTAAGTATATCAGAAAGTTCCTTAGAAAGACAAAGATATAGTAACATCTATGAACTTAATTTTGTATCCCCAGTTTGTCAAGCTCATGCATTTTAGTAGAATGAATATAATTAAAAATTATAATTTTGATTGCTTCACTATTTATTAAATTATCAACAAACCTAACCAATTAAATCCACAGAAGATAAGGTGGGACTAATATATGAGCTGTAATAAAAGTAAAAGTAAAGTAAAGGCCCTCCTGTTGATCATCGATTTGCTCGAGCGGGCCCAGTAACGTCTCCATTGGAGACTTTGTTGTTACTGTGTCTGGCATATCGAATACGTCACGGGGAGCTTGCCAGGCTCTGCAGTGCGGGCGAGATACTCTCGGTAGCTTGCCGGGCTCTCTGAGAGGGGCGGAGGAATCGAACTCAGGTTGGCCATGTTGGCTGCGTGCAAGGCAAACGCCCTACCGCTGTGCTATCGCTCCAACCCTTGAGCTGTAATAAGATTGTTAAAAATGTGTTTCTGAAGCCAGCTTGAGGATTAGTCTGAAGACATTCCACTTTAATTAAAGTTTCTACAATATTGTGGAAAATGAAAACTGATGGCATTGATTTTAACTGCTAATTGGCACCTCCTGCAGAGTTATTATCAGTCTGAATGGTTTTGAGAAGCATAATAAAAGGGATACAACTACTAGTAAGATAAAAATATTTTGAAAAATGGGTAAAAACGAAGATTTATGGTTTAGTAGAGATGAGAGATTGAAAGCTCTCACTATTAAAAAACAAAAGGAAATGCTCTATTTAAAAAATTACATTGCCTGCGCTGGAGGGATAGCACAGCGGGTCGGGTGTTTGCCTTGCTCACAGCTGACCCGGGTTCAATTCCCATCATCCCATATGGTCCCCTGAGCACGGCCAGGAATAATTCCTGAGTGCATGAACCAGGAGTGACCCCTGCGCATCGCCGGGTGTGACCCAAAAAGAAAAAAAAGTAGATTGCCTAAACACAGTTTTGAATATATATTCTTTTTTTTTTAAATCTTTTGTCTCTCAAACCTGACATGTAAAAATATAGCTAGTTGTAGAATAAAATAGATTGACTGTCTTAACATGATACCATGTGAGAAAAAGAAAGGAGAGGAATCAAATGGAAGAAACACATGAATATTTTCTGTGTGTATCTCCCTGTTGGTTTATTTAAAGGGAAATGCAAGTAAATTCAGATGTTAAAGTGGCTTATTTTCTTCCTCAGGAATTTATACATTTGGACTGTTCGCTACGGATATCTTTGTAAATGCTGGACAAGTGGTTACAGGAAATCTGGCTCCACATTTTCTCGCCCTATGTAAACCCAACTACACAGCACTTGGATGTCAGCAGTATACCCAGTTCATCAGTGGGGAAGAGGCCTGCACGGGCAATCCGGACCTCATCATGAGAGCAAGGAAAACATTTCCATCCAAAGAAGCGGCGCTCAGTGTCTATGCAGCCATGTATCTGACAGTAAGTACCAATGATGAACCAGTTTGGTGCTGTGTTTCTGTTAATTCTCCCAAGTTCTCCCCGCCTTAATGAAGATCCCATTAACAGCTTTCTGTAGGTCATTTAATTTACTTTTTATAATATGGTACTATGAAGTCAGTTAACTCTCATGAGATTTCGTGGGGGTGGTTGGTTGTTTTAAAAAATATATTCATTAGCCTCTATACTTGGGAATAAGTTTGTCTTTGTGTTAAATAGAGCTTAATGTAAAGATGTGTATCTTGCAGCCATCTTTATGAATTTGTAAGAGTAAAATTATGAGAACAAACAAGGCCACCTTGTCACCTACTATGCTCTGTTTTTTTTTTTTCTGTTGATGATGTTATAAGGTATACTTATTAGTCTGGAGGAATAGTTTATCACAATACCACAAAAAGTTTTCTAAGATTTTCCCATCGAACTAACAAAAAAATCTTCAAGTTCGATTCCTCCACCCCTCTCGGAGAGCCCGGCAAGCTACCGAGAGTATTGGATATGCCAGACACAGTAACAACAAAGTCTCCAATGGAGACGTTACTGGGCCCGCTCGAGCAAGTTATATTTCCTCTAATTTAAAGCATTTTCCATCATCCTAGAAGTAAGAACCCAGTGCACGTATTTGGAATGTGAAATTGTAAGCAGCAGACATGACTGGATATAGTACTGTCTGTAAGAATTTAAAGATTGGGCAGAACTCTTGTCCCCAGCTAATGTTATAAGCCTTTCCCTTTATCACCAGAATCTGTTGTCCAGTAATCCAGTTGTAACCTCAGGTGTGCTCTGCAGGTCTTTCTATAAGTTCAAAGAAGTTGGAGAGACAGTAGAGCGGGTAGGGTACTTTCCTTGCAACTCTGATATGATCCCTGACACCACATATAGTCCCTCAAACCTCACCAGGAGTAATCTCTGAGCACAGAGCCAAAAATAAGCTGTGAATCCTCCCAGGTGTAGCCCTCAAAAAAAAAAAAAAAAGCAAAAATAGAAGTTGAGACATGATAAATGATGCCAGTACCTACTTCCTTTTGATTTTTGCTCACTGACCCAAGATCTGATGAGAAACAGAACTGATTTGAAACAATATTTGATCATTTCAAGTGAATTGAAAAAAATTAGTTTGCATTAACCCTCAAAGAATTTTTTATCATGGAAATATTTATAGCTTTCCTAAGGCAGTCATTTCAGGTTAGCCCTAACACCAAAGAAAATATGCATGATTGCCTGTGATCTTGTGTCATACCCTACATGAGAATGGGAAATTAACATTACTAATTAAAGGGACAGTGTAAAACCGTATTGCATATAGTATTGCTACAAAGATAGGGTAATTTTTGAGACAATAAGCCTATGGATTTTAACATTTTAAGAAATTTCTTTGCTTTGTTTTAGAGGGCCTTCCAAGCCTGGTAACCACTCCTGGTGATATTCCACTAACCATTCCAGTAGTTCAGTGCTAGGATCTCATGATTTAATGCTGCTCCATTGGGTCTTGTAGTATTGGGGACCACCAGGACCACCCACAGGTGCTTGGGAACCTCCAGAATGGCAACTGAGGATACCCAGAGGACCATGTGGCATTGAACCTAGATTGACACATTTAAGGAATATGTGCTCTAATCCCTGTACTATCACCTTGATCCCCATTTAAAAAAATTGAACCAAGATAACTTTCTGAGCTTGGAAAATTGTTATGGAGTTTTATTGCAATCAAATCCCATCTCCATACTTCTTCTCATTTCTGTCTGAATTTTCAGTCCAGTTCCTTCCTGTCCTATCAGTGTGCTTCCAACTGATCCTATTTCCCCTACTTTCTTTAGTCCTTTCACTTTTCATTTTACTCCACATTCTAAAGTCCCCCTGTACCTGAGACGAATCTGCTCCTCCATGTATCCTAGTGCTGCTCTAGTGCTGAACTGCTTTACTTGCATGATCTACCTTTCCTAGAATATGAAATATTCAGCTTTAGTATTAAATATCAGAAACTTTTTTTACTTATTGTCATAACATCTATGATGTTTATATATTTTTATCTGGTAGGGATTACAAGTGTGTCTACATATACTTATATAATCAAACCAATGTCTTGAGACTAATTCCAGAATACTCTCAGATTCCAAATACTGTTGCATGATTATCTTGGTAATTCTAGGTGGTAGATTTTTGCTTTGGTAGAAGTAGTAGATATACGCTGTGCTTGTAAAAGGGGTGAACGTGGTAATGAATACACTTCTTGCAGTGTTTCTCAAAGTAGGCAATATCATTTCCCCTCGGAAACTATGGTTTTCTCCAGGAATGTGTTATAGTCTTAGGTGGTGCAATTGGGGGAGAGGGTCACTTTGTGTTTGTTTGTTTAAGCAAGGTAGGTTTCTAGGGAGTTGCTGAGTAATTTTATATTTTTAGAAAAGGGACGGTATGGAAATGTTTGAGAACTATTGCTCTAATGAAATGCTGTCTTTGTATTCTGAGTGTTTTTCAAAGGCATAAGTAGACATTATCCTTTTCTGTACCAGAAGAATACTGCCCATTTTTTAAAAATCCCTGCTCCACTGGCATTTTTTAGTCACTTTTTTACTTGGTTTGTGTTAGCAGCTTACCTACAGGAACTTATTTTAGTATATTCTGATTTATGAGTCATACTTTGCTAGTCCTGAATAAAGACTTGGAGGTATTCCTAGTAGTAACAATAATTATCATAATTATCATTCTAAGAAACATTTGTTGCATATTTACAATGTGTCACACTGTAACTGCTTCATCTTTACTAATAACATATGCTAATTCTTATTTATGCAACATTAAAATATATTTATGATGTATAATTTATATGTATGTATAGAATAATGCATTCATTGTTCTGTTTTACTAAAGTTTTGTAATACTCCCTCAAAATACAATTATTGTGCCCATTTTTCAATTGAGAACACTCAGGAAAGGAAATAAGTTGCCCAGGTCTCTAAAAGTCACACTTTTCCTGGCTACAGTAATTACAAATGTTTCTGAGACAGAATTATTAAACCATTATTATTATTAAACCATATACATTATTAACCCCAATGTGTATGTCTGCTGAATTTCTTCCTGTAACTCTCAGAGTAATATCGACAAGGTTAATGCCAAACGTTCAGATGAGAGGAAAAGAATTTAATACACCCATAAATATACAACTACACAGCAGTCCAGACTAAAAATCAGGATCCCTGCTTTTAATTACATTGAAGAGTATTTCTGTCTTTTTAACAATAGATTCTGTTCTCTGCTAACTGCTTTTCTCTTTTCTCCTTCCACCCCTTTGTGTGTGAGAGAGAGTGGGTGGCTGCTATGGCAACTCTGAATATAACTCCTGCTGCAATTGTGGGCATTATAGTCAGGTTTTGCTATTATATTTGAACTATATACAAAAATATTTCTTCCCAGCTTCACTAGAGACACCTTGAAAAAACTTTATAATAGATATGTCGGGTGTCTCAAACTAATATAGTTTCATGAAATACTTGCCAGAATTTTGATGAGTAGGTAAAAATGGAGAAACAGCCATATATTCATTATTCTCTGTATATAGTCCTGTTGCTGTTTTTAGGTAGAGATAAATTTGTATCATGTGGTGTACGTGTTATAAACACATGTGGGCACATGAATAATAATAAATGAGCCTTAATATGAAGTATTTGAGTAAGAACTAAAGAATATTTTTCTCATTTTTCTCTTTGTGGACTAGCAAATAAAATTATTTACTAATTATTTACTTAGTTATTGTTTAGAATTTATTTACTCCCTTAGCATCTAACTCTAAGCCTTTGGGGTTAATTTAATCATAAAGTTATTCTCTTTTGCTTTACCAAGAATTTTATGGGAAAATTTTTAAAAAATACTATTTCTATGTTTGCAAATGTTGCTCATTTTCCAGGAAGAAATTCTGCTGGTATTTAACCCTTCAATATTAAATTTGTAATTCAGTGTTAACTTTCAATCGATTAATATTTAAATTTAGCTTTAGCATTTTAGGATAATTTTTAAATTTAGCTTATATGTAGATTTAGATTGTCTATCTATCTGTGTATAATAGTTAAACTTTTTTTCCACTTAAAGTCAAATGAACTGTTTATTGCAGCACTGTTTACAATAGCTAGAATCTGGAAAAAACCTGAGTTTCCAAGAACAGATGACTGGTTAAAGAAACTTTGGTACATCTACACAATTGAGTACTATGTAGCTGTTAGAAAAGATGAAGTCATGAAATTTACATACAAGTGGTACTACATGGAAAGCATCATGTTAAGCGAAATGAGTCAGAAAGAGAGGGATAGACATAGAAAGAGTGCATTCATCTGGGGAACATAAAGTAACAAAATAGGAGACTAACACCCAAGAATAGCTGAGATAAGTACCAGGCGGATTACTCCATGGCTTTGAGGACAACCGCACATGCTAGGGGAAAAGGCAGCTCAGACAGAGAAGGGAGCACCAAATAAAGGGTGTTGGGAGGTTCCTCTCAGGATGGGAAATGCGTGATGAGAGTAGACTATAGTCCGAACAAGATTGTCACTCAATATCTTTTTTGCAAACCGCAGCACTCAAAAGGAGAGAGATAACAAAAGGGAATGCCCTGCCACAGTGGTAGGCTGGAATGGGGGATGGGGGGAAGGGGAGTGGGAGGGATACTGAGATTGGTGGTGGTGGAGAATGGGCACTGGTGGAGGGATGGATATTCGATCAAAAGCACAAAAATTTGTAAGTCTACAATTGTACCTCATGGAGTTTCACTAAGAAAAAAAAAATATATATATATGGCCTTCCTTGATCGCATCTCTGCACTGCTTTGCAAGCTCGGACGTTAGCTTGCGGTTGCCTGAGGCATGCGCCAAACCACGCTGGCGAATTAGCTCAAGAGTTTTCGAAGATAGGCGACTTTTTGTGGCTATCTCTCTCATGGCGTTCCTCGCACATTCATGGAGGTGCTGAACCAGTCGATCGTATTCCTCGTCAAT